AAAAAAAAAAAAAACACCAATCATACAATTGCAAGGGCTTTCACGGTTTTATCAGGTCTTTGGTCACTTTACTTTCTCCGCAACAGCCCCTCACCCCCATGTTAAGTTGCTCAACATCAAAATTTCCTGCCGTTGGGATGTCAGCGATAGGACCTCTGTGGTTGAAGGGGAAATTCAGGGTTCTTTTTATTCTTATGTGCTTCAGACCCCTCACCTCCTTCCCCGTGGCACTAAAATGGAGCTGTTCCATGGTCTTAACTTTCAATAAGACCTTTGTCAGCAGGATTAGTTGAACATCCAAAATAATTTCAACTAAAAGGTCTAGATGTAATCTGCCGGCTTGGATATAGAAAACGGGAGAAAGGATGACTACATAAAACATAGGGAAGATTATTAACAATGAACAGTATTTTCCAGTTTTGTTTTGTTTTTAAATCTCGTATCTCAAGTATCACAGCCAATTTCTTTTTTTTTTTTAATTCTTTTTATGTTTATTTATTTTTGAGAGAGAGAGAGAGAGACAGAGTGTGAGCAGGCAAGGGGCAGAGAGAGAGGGAGACACAGAATCTGAAACAGTCTCCAGGCTCTGAGCTGTCAGCACAGAGCCTGACGCGGGGCTCGAACCCACGAACTGTGAGATCATGACCTGAGCTGAAGCCGGACACTCAACCGACTGAGCCACCCACGCACCCCTACAGCCGATTTATTTTAGGCAAGATCTAACTCTGTCTGCAAATGTATATCAACGTTAGAACGCACACAAGGGGCGCCTGGCCTGGGTGGCTCAGTCGGTTAAGCGTCCCACTTTGACTCAGGTGTCATGGTTCCTGAGTCAGAGCCGCACATCGGGCTCTGTGCTTTCAGCTCCTCTCTCTCTGCCCTTCCCCCACTTGCACGCACTCTCTCTCTCTGTCTCAAAATAAATAAGTAAACTTGAAAAAAAGTAATAAAATAATAATAAATGCACACAAATTCATAGCAACCCCTTCTAGCTGTTCCAATATAACTGTAAGATTGATTTCCCTCAATGGAAATCAAACGCAAACTCCACAGAACCCAAATGTCCACTCTGGCTGTGTACCTCCATCACACAATCATGCAACAAACTCACACAGCAGGTCCCAAGACCCTTTTGTCATTAAAAATCCATTGGCGGTGAAAATAGTGAAGAAAGACAGGAAAAAACAAACGTGCAGGAATGCAAATTAGTAGTATAAAAGAAAAGGACTCCACTTTCTGAACAGAATTTAAAATTTTCAAACACACCCAGGCTACATGTTTGTGCAAAGGTGAAGAATGTTAGGCACACTTACGACAGGTTTGCAAAACTGTATTATTGTTCTCTGAGACTGATTCAAATTTACTACCTCCTTCGTCCGATGGCCTGGTTACCTCACTGCAGCATGAAAAGCTGGGGTAAATCTCGGATATTTCTGACTTGTCGTCTCCCAGACCTGTGCCAAAAGTACTGCTCGAATGAGAGCGAGAACGATGTCTCCTATAGTGACTCGCCTTTTCTACAGCGGAAGGAAAATATTCGTATTTGTGATTAAGTGACTTGAAGAACCACAACAAAAAAATTACTGAAAAGTGTAACAAGGACACAAAGCAGGTCTCTTATAAATAAAAATCCCAAAGCTCAGGCATTACAAGTTCTAGCCACCTGTTACCAAACTTCCGCATATGCTGTGTCAAGTGCATCAAGGTTGAACAATCACTTATGCTCATTTTAAGTGTAGATTTTAAAGGAGAAATCGGGGTGGGGTGGGGAATTAACAAGAACTAAGGAAACACTAGCAAACTAAAATGTTTCTATCAAACCTAGCATCTGGTTATACGTAATTGTTTTCAAGAATCGCCAAGCGTAAGTATTTGTTGCCTTTTCTTTATCTTCAGAAAATTTAATGAGAGCTTGGCTGCTTATGTAGATCAAACCGAGGACAAAAGTATTAGAGTCCCTATTTTCCCTTGGGCTTTCCATTTTATTAATGTCAGTAATTAAATGTAGAATATAAATCAGGGGGTAGAGACAGACCCAAAGGATATAATACATCTATTTATATTGTTTGAAATAACTGCATAACTGTCAAGGCTTCTGTGTGTTCAACACTGTCTGAAAGTCTGAAATGTCAAAGCATGCTATCCCTGTACCCAAATATCCAAGCCATTCGGTTTTTGCTTTTAATTAGAAACACGCGGTCTAAATTAAAAGTCGAGTGAACTTGCGACATACGCCATAAATTCTGCATTATACGAAAACTCAGAGATAAATTTTAAGGGTACCAAAAAGTCTATTTTATTTTAACACATTCATGATGCTATATAGGACACCTCCCCCACCTTTTATATAAAGGAGAAACGAATCTCCTTTATATCTTAGCAGTTTAACGCAATCCAAATAATTGCATTCGAAAGCCCAGAAAACCTATCAAATCACATTCACTAATGAAAAGCAGAAACAAGGAAGCTCTGGACACCTTTCTAGGTGAACCTGGGACAAACTAATCTATGTCTGATATATTAAAAAGCTGTTTTGTGAGGTTTGTTTTCATGCATGATGAATGGCATTTTAAAGCAGCATGGCATTTTTTTTTTTTTTCAAACCCTCAACTTTAAAAATTCACAATTTACAGTTGGCACCAGGTGCCTCTAAGGCTCAGATGAGCTGCACTTTGAGGACAAAACCACGTAAATGAGGAGGAACTCAAAATGTAAGCAGTACCAGAGAGCATATGGAGACTTCTAGACTGAATATTGTCTTCCAGGGGATCAATGTCGAAGATGGAGCCAGGATCTGTGCGCCAAACTTTGAGGTCTTTTACCAAAAGGAAGAAATCAACAAATCAAGAATGAATCTTAAAAAGCCAGCACCGGAGTCAAGCGCAAGTCTGGAAAAAGATGTACATAAGAAGCAAACACGTAGAGGCAAACCCACGGTCCTGCAGACATCAGAGAACAAAGGGACAGTCGCACCCACATGGATTTGGTAAGAAAATCTTGTGAGCAAATTTAAGTTGCCTGGTTTATTTTTCATTGTCCTTCTGTCTGCAGTCTGTGACTCATCACCCAACACACATGCATACCAGACAGCCCCCCGCATCCCTGAGCCCCCAACACTCGTGCTCAAAGAAGTAAAATGTTTGACATAAACTGCTGATTAAGGACATGTGAGTAATTCTCAGGGAGTGACTGAGAGGTTTTTGTCCGAGAAAACCAAAGAAAGAACAAAAACTTCTCTCCTGAGGGCACCTGGGTGGCTCAGTAGAAGCATCCAACTCTTGATTTCGGCTCAGGTCATCTCATGGTTCGTGAGTTCAAGCCCCACGGTGGGCTCCCCACTGACAGTGTGGAGCCTGCTTGGGATTCTCTCTCTCTCTCAAGACATAAATAAGTAAACTTTAAAAATAACTCACTTCAGTTACTCCCTGCCTGGTTCAAAAGTTCGTTTGTGGAATGTACTTCATTTTGGGGCTTCGTAGGGAAGTCCTCAGTGGAAAACAGTCTCCCCCCCCAAAAGAAGAAATGCACCGACCTCTGGATTACCCAGTAAGGGAATAATTTAGAGACATATATGTTGCATTTAGAAAAAAATAGCAATTTCCAGGGGCACCTGGGTGGCTCAGTCGGTTGTTGCCCACCGCTCAGGTCATGATCTCATCGCCAGGAGTTCGCCCCTCGCGGTCGGGCCTTGTGCTGACATTCAGGAGCTTGAGCTTGTTAGATTCTGTGTTCTCCCCTCTCTCTGCCTCCTCCCCGTGAGCCTTATTTTTTCTTCTCTCTTCTTCTTCTCCCAAAAATAAACATTTAAAAAAATTTTTTTTTTAATTTTTTTTGTTTTCAACGTTTATTTATTTTTGGGACAGAGAGAGAGACATAGCATGGAACGGGAGGGCAGGAGAGAGAGGGAGACAGAATCGAAACAGGCTCCAGGCTCTGAGCCATCAGCTCAGAGCTCGACGCTGCCTCGAACTCTCGGATCACAGATCGTGACCTGGCTGAAGTCGGACGCTTAACCGACTGCGCCACCCAGGCGCCCCTTAAAAATTTTTTTAAGAAAAGAAAAGAAACGAATTCCATGTTACTTTCAACAAAAACATCTCAACCCATCCACCCAACTGAATATGATTCTTTTAAACAATCAACTTTGGAAGGTGTGCAGAGCTATCTGGAAGGTGTGCCAATCTATTTGGAATCCCTCTTGGAAAAGACTTGCAGATTCACTTAATAATCACTCAACAAACTTATGCCCTGACTTCAGTACCGTTGTTTTATATGAAGACATTACCCTGTCAGATATGCACCTCCGTCCCTCAGCTCACCTCTAAATGGCCTTTCACTAGTTCCAAAAGGCAAGCTCTTACTTGTGAAGATGAAGCTAACTTCACATGGAGATTGCTGGTGAGCATGGTTGCATGGTTCCCAAAAATATTATCTGAGCTTTAGAACTGGGCTAGCTACAAAAATTCAGACGCTAACTGCTCTGAAGAAGAACAATCATTTGGAAGTATGGGTCGTTTGTGCATACCGAAAACTCAGTAACTGTCCTGTCTAGCCCTGCCTTAGATTCCGGTGTGATCACTGCTGTCTCAGCCACCATTCAAAACTTTGTTCTGAACATGCACCCAGACGAACTAGGAGGAATAATGAGAAGTTTCCTTCCTTTCAGATTTATGGCACTTGCAGACAGCTCTCGGTTATCCCCACTCGGGGATAATATCAAAAAAAATATAAGCTCTTCATATTGTGGAATACCATCAGAATCTCTCTGGCACTTCTATTTGTGGTAAAAGGTCCTACATGGGATCGGTTCTATTATTTCTGTCCCCCATGTAGACAATGTCTGCACTACAAGGCATTGCTCAAGTACGTTAGCTAAAGGAAAACAAAACAATTGTCCGGCCTTTGTTATCACTCCTGGCTGGTATCTGGGCCGCTCCTTGGCTTAAGAAGTAAGAACACTCTTAAGACCAGCAAGTTATTGAAGACAGAGAAGGTCCAATAATTCAAAAGATTTGCGATGATAGCTGACAAGGACCATGAATCCCATTCAACGTGGCACAAACAGTTAACACTTAGCCTGTCATCCCTTTTCAATTGGGCACCACATCCAACATTTGAGGACGGGTCCAATGAATAAGGAGGCTGATTCTACAGCGGGGGCAAGGACCACCTTTTTGACCGTGCACACCTGCTGAGAACCGTCAGCTTACCAACAATGATTCCAGGTCTCCGGTCCATCTCCACAATGTGAGGATGGACGCCCTTGTAGGCCGCATCGCTGACAACCTGGGTGTTCTTCCTCACTCGCTCTGTCACGGGGTCATCTACAACAGGAGTAAAGCCTCTGCCCTTCGTCTTTTCAAAATCTTCATGATACTTTACCTGAAAAAAAGGAAAAACAACATAAACTCCAACTGAAATTTCCTGATTGTTAACAGAGCTCACACAATTTCGACATAACGGCAACTGTTACAGAATCAACTACATCTAGACTATTTTCCACACAGATGAGTCTTTTCCAATTACTCCGAAAATAGTGTCTGAAATGTCAGCTTCCTAGCATCAGAAATCAAGTGCTGAGATTTTCACAACGGTTTTCCTCATTATGGTTAGAAGCTCTTTTAAATTATATATAAACCGGTATATCGGTGAGAAGGTTTAAAAGATACATATTGTTTAATCCTGGCGATTTCCTAAAATGTACTAACTTAGGTATAAATTAATTTGCTATTTTTTAACTTTTAATAGGTTTTAAAATGATACTCTATTTCCACACATTGACATGATTTTTTGTGTGTGTATATATATATATACACACACACACACACAAGTGTGTGTGCACACACAGTTCAAACACACATTTTTTTCATGTTCTGATATTGGATTACGGTGGTAGTTATTCAATTTTATAGATCTTACTATATACCACTGAATTGCACACTTTAAATGAAGAAACCTTATGGCCGATAAATTATATCTCAGGCAACTGCTTTAAAAAAAAACATACCTAACTTTTACATTCTTTGCAACATGTAAACATACCAAGCTCTGTCTTCAGATTAACTGAAAAGAAGTCCAAGCAAATGTCTTTCACAAAATGCATTTAGAGTAGTCATGTTAGAAATAAAAACACACCCCAAATATCACTGAGAAAAATTACTTTATTAGACTAAATATTTCCATTACATTTCAGTGTGGTTAGCGGTCACCCCCCCCCCCCCCAAAGGAGGGTCCCATCTGCGTTTTGCTTTGCATTCATGCTGGTTAGTTATCCAGATTAATGGTGAACAACGCCTTCTGTATACCGGGTGGGGCCGTTCCTTAGTATGTTTTAGTCATGAGAAGAAGGAGCTGGTTGTACCCTACCATGGAAATATGATTTTGTGCTTCTTTGACATATCTTAGACCAGGCGTATCTAAAATCAGACTTGGTCTACCTTTCATCTGTTTATGGTCCTGGGTATATTTTACCTGCAAAGGACACAGTAGAACGTACTTAAACAACACGACAATTGTAAGAGAAAACATTACGCCACGTTTTCAAACTTTCCAAATGAGTGACACATCTACAACAAATTCAAAATGATTCCCCAAGTAAGTTGTTCAGTGAATTACATGTCATTCTAGGGTAACAATCTAAAATTTTGCTCTCAAAGTTCACTTTTAAAAACTAAAGCAAAAACCACCTAAATCTCTCGATTAACCGAAAACCAACGTGTGAGTGAGCGATATCCACTAACAGTGTAGTCGGGAACAGTGGAAAAATCCACACTAAATTAAACAGGAAAAATCCACACTAAATGAAACCTAAATTTATTTTTCTGTTTCTAATATTTCCCCGTTTGCCACCATAACACTGTTGAAGAATATATACCTACCAAGTCCAAGCATCCCTCTATTTCCTTTTATTTTTTTTTCCCATTGTGGAGAATAAGAAACTGTGAGTATCAGATCTAATTTCCTTCTAAGCGGCCACAGCTTAAAGGTAATTTATGTCAAATACGGTCAGCATCTCTGGACAGAAATGCCACTGGCGAACCGTAAACCGTAAACCCTAAATGCTGATTCCCAGGCATGAGCTATCTTTTTGATAACTGACCAGCAGAACTCTGCTATCTATGAAGCTGGCTATGCATGATATGAGGAAAGCAACGATTGAGGACCTGAGGACATATGTGCAATTCGGAACTGAAGCCCTGATATTTACTAAAAGAAAGCATACAATCCAAATAAGACACTGATGTGCACCACGGGCCTTTAATGAATAACTGAATGCTATACGCAATGCATTTAAAGATTTTTTTTCCCTCTAGGTCCCTACTCTGGAGTAATGAGTCATTTCTGATTTTGTTTTGCAGAGAACATCTAACAATTCACATTCAATGGGATACATCTGCACAATGACAATTATTTAACTTACGCATCAAAGACTTCACCACTTTCAAAGACACTGGCTAAAATAACATGAATCATTGTTTAAAGGAGCATAATATAGTTTAAAACTAAACTTTGAATGTAACCATTGGTCACATCTGGAAATACCGAGGAAGGGCTTGCATGATGACGTCAAGTTGCACAACGGCAGCTTTTGGAAATCATCTGAAATTACACGTGGACCTACTGCATGTATCACAAATGTTTCTTGAGAGTACGTTTTATTTTCACGGGGGAGAAAAAACAACAACAAGAAAAAGACTGCAAGTAAATAATAAAGGACGCATCCTTTGTAACAGACCAAACTGAAAAAAGCAACTTGCCGAACTAAGATTTTCTTGATTCTTCTTCACTCTTTCCATTTCAGGAGTTACGCTTAAAGCTGTGGCTCTTCCCAGCTGACCTTTATAATAAACCTATCATTGCGGAGAATAAAAAATAAAGAGCACGGTGAATCAATTCACCTACATAAGAGTCTCACAGTAGCTATTTTAAAGAGCTAGCCGAGAAAAGGGCACAATGGAAAAAAGAGGATGGTATCGGAGGGCTAGCCATATTTAAAAGGCTTGCATCTGAAATCAATTTCAATTCATCCCATTGCGTCTATGGCTGGGAATGACGTCACCGTGAATACACTCAAATACATGGGCGTACTGTCAGGAAAGCGGACATAAGCACTGCATCACAAAGGAACATGGTAAGAAATGTTGCCTTAAAGGCACTCGTACCCATATACTGTTGTAGTCTGTTAGTAATTAACTGTAGCAGGGTTTTCAAAAAGATGCCTAAATAGGTGACTGTGGTCATCCAAAAACTGGTCGCTGCACTTCCCACGACCCCATTCTTCCTTCTCAATAACTAAGTTCCTTTCTGAGAGTAATGGAGTTATATCAACCTTGCCCCTAGATATATCGGGCAGAGATGGGCACCTACTTCTCCAAAACACAGTTGTTAGGAAAATGGCCAAACAACAGCCTGCCTTTGTTTTATGATCTGCCCCCAAAGACTTTAAAGGTTTGAAGAATAAAATATTTCTTTGAACCTAATAGATTTCTAGATTTCCTCTTCCAGAGAACCCAATCTAAATTTTTTTTACTGGTTTTTTTAATCTTTGAGAGAGAGAGACACAATGTGAGCAGGGGAGGGGCAGAGAGAGAGGGAGACCACAGAATCCGAAGCAGGCTCCAGGCTCTAAGCTGTCAAGCACAGAGCCTGACGCGGGGCTCAGACTCAAGAACCCACGAGATCATAACCTGAGCCAAAGTCAGACACTTAACCCACTGAGCTACCCAGGCACCCGCAGAGAACCCAATCTGTATGTTAATGACTTCAAAAAAAGATGCTCTCCTTGAACTACACCTAGGGATTACAAAAACAGAAAGGGGTTAAGAACAGGCCAGGAGTTGGTGCTCGAGGAAAAACGAACAGCCCCCTTTACAAGTGCCCTGAAAAATGGGCCTGTCCCGTGTGACCTGTGCAGGCTTGCACACTTTATAATTTTACCCCCCAAGTCATCATCCAAAAATAAAGTGACGAGAGCTGGGAGTGGGCGACAGGGCTGGACAGGCTAACAAACAAGAACACATACAGGTAAGAAAGGCAGTGGGAAAGCTTATTCGAAGGGCCAAGATGCTAGGAGCCATCGCCGCATCCCTTTGCGGAACGACAGCAACTGTAAGCGTGCAGACAAGAGGGAGCCACGATAATCGGTCGCCAAAAATCGTAATTGGCGGTCACTGGGAACTCTGGAGCCCGGAATGCCTGGCTGTACCCACACTTAACACTCCACACCATTTCAAGTTAGACAGGCAGTCAACTGAGAGCACAGTATCAACTTGAGAACTTTATAAACACAACTCTTCACTGACATGTTGAGAATACGTTTGCTGTCATAAGGAAAAAAAGTTACTAAGGTCACACATTGCTGAGGTTCTTCTGGTTTTCTTTAGCTCTCTTCAGCTCTGGTGGATCAGAAATTGAAGTTGCTTGTTTAACCCCTCCTCTGTATTTTACCTGCGGAGGATAAATGAGAATTTTAGTAGATAGCAGAATGGTCAACACACACACACACACACACACACACACACACACCCCACAGAGCATGAGCCTCAAAATTAACCCTATCTTTCCACACTTGTCCCCACAGGAGACATGCAGAAACCGGTCAGTTCATGTCCACACCTGGATCCTTACTCTTCTGATGTGGCAAGCACAAAATGGCATTGTGCTTCTTTAAAATGATGTTTCAAGGGGTGCCTGGGGGGCTCAGTCGGTTGAGCGTCCGACTTCAGCTCAGGTCATGATCGTGTGATTCGTGGGCTCGAGCCCCACATCGGGCTCGCTGCTGGCAGCCTGTCAGCGCAGAGCCCGCTCAGGAACCTCTGTCCGCCTCTCTCTGCCCCTCCCCCGCTTGCACTCTCCCCCAAATAAATACATTTTTTAAATAAATAAATAAATAAATGAATGATGGTTTCAATAAATATTTTGCTGTTCAATGCCAAAGCAAACTGCAAATCCCACCACTAAAAGCAATGGGAATATAGGGGAGAAACACAGGAATGAACCATTCCAAGAGAACCAGAGCGAAGCTGCTGGCCCAGCCTGGGCCATTTACTCTCATTCTGGAAGACCATTGGTCCTCTGGAGGACCATTTACTCTCATTCTGACCTGGGGCTTCCACCTTCAAAAGAAGCTAAAGATCTCTCCCTCCTACTGCCTTCCAGGGATATTATAAGGATCAGGTGGTGTTCAGCCTGATTTTCTCCTCTACCTGTAAGAACTCACACTCACATTGTAAAGTCTTTCAAAACTACCTGTTTGGGAGAAGAACGCTATTGTTTATACTGGTAAAAGTTCCACAAAAGGGTCCAAAAAATGGGAAAAATAGCTAGCAGGGGGCACCTGGGGTCCCCAGGGGCACCCAGGGAGACCTGGGGTCAAATCCCAGCTCGGCCCTTCAAACTGTGGGTCCCTGGCATGTCCTCTGACCTCTCCAAGACTCAGCTTCCCACACCTACAAACCAGAGAAATAAATTGCGCCGACCTCACGGGTTCACAGAAAGCGTTCAGCACACATGCCATATTGGAAGTATCTCACGATTATTAACTCTCGTTCCTTTATTAGCAATAAATCATTGATGATTGACTAATGTTTTTCATTTTATTTACAAGGTTCCCTGCCTTGACGTTATGTCTTAGCAGCCCAGTCAAGCCGGGTCTTCTCCTGCTCTATTCTAACAGCTAAATTCTTCTTCTCAGGTTGACAACACAACCACTTCTCTCCAGGTCCTTCCCCAAAAGGAGAGATTTACCCACGAACCTATGAGGCCCGTGGAGACAGGAACTAGGTCTCACCCATCTTTGTGTACCAGTAACCAGGATCACGCCTGGCGCGCTGGGGTGCTTAACGAAGGCTTCTTGACTAAACGGCCACGGCTAAATCATAGCCAGACAATCCCAAACTTCCCGGATCGCACCGGAGAACCAAAGTTCCTGCCCTTGAGCATGGGACTGCAGAAAAGGGCACCCGATCCGTAGAGGGCTCGAGCTTTTCGGAGAGCACTGTGAAGAATAAAAGTGCGTGACGCTTGCTAACACAGAGGAAACACTTGCCGCACTCAGCTGCTCCTGGTTTCTCCTCACCCTCTCCATCTCTGGCGTGACGCTCATGGGCGTGGCTTTGTGGCACGGCTCTTTGTACCGGAGCTGAGAGACAGACAAGGTGCGAGACAGGGTGGGGTTATGTGAAGGAAAGGTGCGCCCACAGTCTGCAACAGATTAAAAGAAGCGTCCTTAGGAGTTCGCGGGGACCTGCGCATCGCCAGCAGACTTCACCATCACCACGAGCCCAGGCTGCAAGCTTGTTCTCGCCCGAATGTTTTTGAACTCTACCTTTGGCTGTTATTCTTTGCGTCGCATCATTTGTCGGGGGCCCCTCCGAGTGTGATCGGTACCGGGAATAATAAGTGATCCCTTCCGTGAGTTCCTTTCTTCAGAGCACAAAGGCAACGTTAGCGAACTACCATTTCGTATTTAAAAATAAAAATCCTACGTTCCTCTCATCGGCAAGGAGGATGGCACCATGCCTGCCCCTTCGTGACAGGCTGTCACTGCGGAAACACACCCCGAACCTCAAAGTTTCCTTATCTACAAAGTGCCCACGTGGGAAGGCCTGTGCTCTGACTCGCATTTATGGAAATTTTCCTGACCTGCCGTGTTGAGGTGCTCTTTCTTAGCTGGAGGATCAGGCCCCAACATTTGTGGTCAGTTTTCCGGCAATTCTGCAACACCCCGGGAAATAAATGAGCCTCCAGCACAAAGAAACAGAATGGTGGGTCCATCAAATGAATCTTTGACAGGCAAAAGTTAAACTGGAGGTTAAAATCCTATTATAAGGAACTCCACAGGGACGGTCTTAATGATCTTCCGGAGTTTAAATTTAGTGTAAGGGAATTTTTTTTTTTTTTTTTTAAGACATCACAAGACCTTCAGGGCCTGCAGATAAAATGCACCCGGGATGCACACCCTTAACCGTGAGTGTGCCAGTGAAGAGAAGCTTGACAAGCCTGGAAAATAAATGACAAAGGGTCAGGCCCCTTCCGTGTGGCAGCTTTCCTCAGCGGGCGGCTTTCTTTGTGCTGTGATATGTAGTTGAGAGTTTAGGCAGATTCTGTGTCCGTGTCTGTATCTGCGTTAAAGTGAGAAAAGATCCAGTGTAATCTCTACGGATGGCAGGATATAAGGAAAGATTACTCCGAGTAGAGCTCGGAGGGGAAAAGTCTGCTGAACGGCATTACGGATGTGGAGAAACTATCGTAACCAATTTCTGGTGGATGTAAGTCTGGGGAAATCAAACTGATAATGGCGACTGTTCATGTCTTGTTTTCATCCATTCACAAATATGCTAAGTGCTCTCCAGGTAATACCTCCCTTAATGGTATGGCTCCTGTGTCACAGATAAGGAAATTGAGGCTGGGAGAGGTTGGTGGCTTATAAAGGTTACACAGCAGGTAAGGGCTGGAGCTGGGATCAAGCCAGGAGACCAGGGTCCACATTCTTCCCGTTATTCCCTATTGTCCAAATTTCTACCGTGTGCACACCACTTGCCTTATGTCGGGCCAGCTATCAACTGTGCTGTGATTTGCAGTATTCGTCTTCCATCAAATTAGGTCACTATTATCTTCAAATAAAGTTATTTTATGGGAGTTATGTGTCTCTGATAAATTGAACACGACTATCCTTTCCTTTTGAAAAAGAGATACATTAAAACAATACAATCCCTAAATCATGGCCTGCTCATGGGCCAAGCACCTATCATTTATATACCAACCATACTTTAGGAAACACTGGGGTTCCCGACGTGACTCCCTAGAGCCCGAATCACAATTTCTCTCTCACCATCATCTTCTGCCGTCTTTCATCGCATGCACCCATCACACTAAACCTTCCTCTCCTTGGACAGAACCTGGACTCTGAACAGGTTCAGTTTGCTCTGCCAGGAAGGCACTTCTTCACGACATCCACCCCCCCAACTGTGATTAATTCTTCAAGATCCAACTCAAATGTTACTCTTCCTCCGAGGGTTTTCTTCTCTCTCTCAAGGAAATACCCTTCCTTCTCTGTGTTTCCACAACACTTTGCAAAGGGAATACTTGCTCATCATTAAACGACACACTGAGCGTAAAGTACTCCAAAAGCCTCGTAAACAGTCAATAACTATTAATTATGGTTACAGCACTTAATGCATAATGGGTATTTATGCCTCTGTCTGTTTCTCCTAGAGGCCTTGAGGATCCTCACTCATCTTTGAATTTCCCAAGAACAAGAACAGAGCAGGCATTCAGTTAACATGTTCTCGGATAAATAAATGCACGCACAAAGTGTTGTGCTAGCCCAACAGAAAGAAGGGCGAAATCCTATCTCCACCTTCCAGGAACGGGCCCTCCAGCAACAGAATGCATCATGGGACTTCACCTGTGTAAGTGCTGGGCCCCCCATTGTCTGCTGCCATCCAGCAAAATAGAAAACAGTACTTAAAGAAACATGATCACACATTGCTGATGTTCTCCTGGTTTTCTTTGGCTCTCTTAACTCTGGAGGATCGGAGATGGCTGTTGCCTGCTTTATCTCTCCTTTGTATTTCACCTGAATAATGTACTGAAAGAACAATGCGGGTTTTATTCAACACAAGGCTTGCAAGGTAAGAATTCTGCATTTGTAACCATTACATAGTTGAACTTTTTTCACCGCCAACGTTAATTTTCCTTCCATGGGAACACAAATTTTTATTTCAGCGGGTGATGCTTTTAGGATTCCTTTATCCTAAAGTGTAAATAAACTCAATTTATTCACCTAGCCATACTACAGGAGTTTATTTAATTACAATAAGCAAATGCCGCTTACGAGAATAAGTTTTATCATTAGGCAGATACACACACACACACACACACACACACACACACACACACACATAAAAACCTTGGGAATTATCTTAAGTAATATAATAACTTATCATTTTTCTATCTGAAAAGCCGTTTCTACTCATTAAAGTATGAATTACAATTTATCATGCATTTAAAGTCCAAAGTCAAACCGAGTTAGGGGCAGAGTCTTCGGGAAGACTGCTTATCTGAGTGAGAGCACACAAATAATCCAGGATAAGGAAAAAAATTAAGTGGCCACAATAAAAGAAGAGAAAGAGGAAGGTGGAGGGAAATGTACTAAAAGCAGAGGCCATGACCTCTGTTCACTATGGAAGGGCCAGTGGCAAAAAGTCAGGAAGTGTCTTGTACCCACATAATCACGTTATACAAAGCCAGCCTGTATGTAGTCTGGCACCCATTCTATTCAAAAGCCCTTCCTTCAAATCCATTTAGAGGAAGATCAACCAGACAAAAATGATAAAGCCAGCACACTGCTAGGCATGGGACAAGAAACAGCTCTTTAAATTTATGAAAAGATTAGTAATGCCATCCTATCTGGTGGTATTTTAATATGTCTAAAATTCATGGAAGATTAGATTCAAGAAAAAGGACACACATAAATATTTATTTGTATGCAAACACAGGCTGGATTTAAGAGGCACATGCTGAAATTTAGCAAAGACTTAAATCTACACAAAACAGGGTTTAGAAATCACTTGGTAATGTTTAAATGATGAAGGCTGAAATCCACACTGACAGTCGCAAAGAAATGGTAACCTAAATATCTAAGATATCATCCATGTCCTAGTAGCCGTAGGTTGAATGTGGGTAACAACAACGTTAGCTCAGATGTGAAACAGTTAAATTGAGAATACACCAAGAAAGACTACCTCTAAATAAGATTCAAAAACACTCCTTAACAGAGAAAGCTAATAGCTAAAAGGCTTGTACGGTGGAGGTGGAAAATGTCGAGATCTTTAAATGTTAGAGAATCATATCTTCGTTTGACAGATCTAGCTAATCTTGAAAGGGCAACTTTCCATTTGAATACTAAGCAGCAGTTTATGGCCCAACCTTATAGAGATACAGAACTACACATTTATTGTTTGCTGGAAAAGGCATTGGGACGCTGGAAAAAGAAATGATAAACCGCACTACTCTGTGCGATTTTCCTCGGGTGAGAAGCTAAACATGATTAAAGATGAACATTTTTGTTTTTCAGACGACTCTAAACTAATCAAAAAGGCAGTCATTTTACTGCAGGCAATGGAATCGCCTACCACAGAACATTTATAACACTGTATCTCAGTACACTGATGGGTGCATTTCAAATATTATCATTTGAAAGTGAAGGAAACAAACATTTCATCCTTCTCTGCCAAACAAACTTCTCCAGCTGGACCCGAGCATTGCCTGACACAGGCTCTCGCCATGGTGGATGGGAACACCCTCATTGTAAGGTCTTCTCTGTAAGCCTCCTTCAGGAGCTAGCTTCATTCAGACTACAGAAATTTTACTGCACTAGTAGTCTGCAGATTTTTTTGAAATATGATTTAATACAGCATTACCTTGCCTTTTCTATTTTTTCTCTGCAAAAGCCAACGCATACTCATACTCTAGAATGCCACATACTGTCTTGACTGATATGTAAGTCTAACCAGACCAGTCCTACTTGAATTAGTTAACGAAAGGCTCTGTGTCTAAGAGTGAAGGTGAAGAGAAAGGTCACGAAAGGGATTTCAGGGGTGCCTGGGTGGCTCAGTTCGTTGAGCACCTGACTCTTTATTTTTATTTTTATTTTATTTTGAGAGAGAGAGTGCAAGCAAGGGACAGGGGCAGAGGAAGAGAGAGAGAGAGAGAGAGAGAGAGAGAGAGAGAGAGAGAATCTCAAGCAGTCTCCATGCCCAGCACGAATCCCAACATGGGGCTTGATCCCAAGACCCTGGGATCATGACCTGAGCCAAAATCAGGAGTCAGACACCCAAAGGACTGAGCCACCCAGGAGCCCTGAGCATTTGACTAAGATGCTCTGAAAATGAGCACTCTCTCTCTCTCTCTCTGAAAAAAAAAAAAAAAAAAGAAAAGGAAAGAAGGGGATTTCAGGAAAGAACTTTATGACTTCCTCAACAAGAAACTAAATATCCATGGAAGAATTGTTGTTGGTAAAGATAGCAATTATTCATTGTAAATTGTCAAGCACTGAATGGAGAAGTTTTTTACCCATCACAGTACTTGCTCCTTGCCTCCCCTACCCTTCCCCCAAGCTCAAAGGTAACCGGAGGGTAAATTATTTTACAAATCATGGTGAAGGTGCATGTTTTTGTTTTGCTGGGAGCTGGAAAAAGAAAAAGGCAAACGGGGCCTTTGAAACCTTCTCTTAAGCCACCAAATCAATGGGCTAAGGGCCTTTAATCATTCTACAGGGTAAAATTTCTTTCCTCCAAGTTGTGGAGAGGTACTGAAATTTATCTTTTCTCTGAAAAATTTAATACAGTTAAAATTCTGTTCAAAAGATGAAATCTAATCCCAGATTTCATTACTGGACTATTAAAGTGATCTATCTCTTGTGCACTATGATATATCAAGATGAAACACTGCTTTAGGTTCAAGGGGAACAAGGCTACAGTTTTCCTTCTGAAACTGAGACCTTTGATATTTGATGAAACAGCATTTTAACAAAGCGAAGAATAAAAGAAAAGCAGCCAGTTTAGCAAAGAACTGAAAACATTTATCTAGCTGATGTTTGCTTTTGGAAAGGATAATTAATGCTATGGAGAACTTACTGAACTAATATTCTGCTGATTTTTCTTCACTCGTTCAGTCTCTGGAGTATCTTTTATGGCCGTGCCAGCTCCTACTTCTTTCTTATAAAATACCTTAATTATAAGAGAAGGAAAGAATAACTATAAGCGTATTAGAATTCAAGTCCTAGGTTAGATTCTTGTAAAAGAAAGACGATGTCTCAGGTTCTCAAGTAACGTGAATACAGCCTCTATTTACAAGTACCAAGGTCATATCAATCAATTGAATAATCCATTATCACAATAAATGCCCAATTCTGGTTTCATATTGCATAGTATTCCCCAAGTAACCCTCTCATACTTGTTCTAGAGCATGCATGCTACCCTAGGTGGCCGCAGATTATTTGGTCTAAGGATATAAGTTGGCAAACTAGAGTTCCCGGCTTTAAATATGAATGTATGTCACATGTGTGTTTGAGGAAAATCAAAGTGCATATTATAAAAGCTTACCAAGCAGTATCATTTAATTCAAAACCAGCATGAAATTTTAAGCAAGTGCTACTCTCCAAACACAAAGATGCCTTCATTCTCTTCAAAGAAAACACTGGTTCTGTCACCAACATCAAAGTTTCCTCATTCTGTTTCCCTTGTCTTCCACTTATTCATTAACCTTCCCACATGTCTCTCCACTCCTACCAACAGCCACCCCTTTCAAAGACAAAGCAAACCGGGGTGCCTGGGTGGCTCAATCGGATAAGTGTCTGACTTCAGCTCAGGTCATGATCTCATGGTTCGTGAGTTCGAGCCCTGCGTTGGGCTCTGTGCTGACAGCTCAGAACCTGGAGCCTACTTCGGATCCTGTGTCTCCCTCTCTTTCTCTGCCCGCCCCCCGCCCCCGCTCGTATTCTGCCTTCCTCTGTCTCATAAATAAATAAATAAATATTTTAAAAGACAAAGCAAAACAAACAAAAAAAAAAATGTTTACAGAATAATAGAATAATTGTAAGAAAAGCATATGAGGACAGAACCGCTCCCTCTGTTGAGACTAGGTAATCCAGGAGGCCCTGGTGGGGGTAGGAGAGTAGGCCCCAGAGATGTTTTCCTCCACAAGATAAAAATCTAGAATACCATGGAATCACAGGAGATAAGGGTGGAAACAGCTTTTTTCCCAGATCTTCCCTTCCAGCCAGACTTTTCCATTTGTTAGCACACCTGCTTTGAAAGCCCCAGAGGCACCTGTCTAGCACACCTTGAGGTTTGGAGCTTGCCAATTTATTTCAAAGTAGAAAAGATTCCAAAAGCCCTCAGACTTAACACAATATACAGTTTGACGAGACATTTGCTTAACTCCTAAAGGACTAATGAGCTAGTTCTACATAAAAATATTGGCTGTTTGGTCAATTTTTATAATTTTATAATTCAAATTTATGTATCCATTAAATGTAGACCCAGTCCCTTAATTCTTATCCCTGAAAATAAAAAATATGAAAGTTTAAGAATCGGTTACAAACTAGTAAATCCCTAAATACATTATCATTTTAAATCAGTGACCTGCAAGAAAATCACTTCATATGATTATTCTCCTCTTTGAAGTAAAATCTGTGTAGAAGATTAAGACCTCTTTCCTAAGTAAAATTTTAAATTTCAGTTAAAAAGAACTCTTGCTTGTACCAAAGAAGAAGATTTGAATTTGTAATTCCAAAACAATCATGATAAATTATACCTTGTAAGAACATTTGGTACTATTAACGAACAAACAAGAGGCCCAAAATGGAGTCACTTATGTTAAACCCCATCAAGACTTAATACCTAACCTAATTGCAGTTTCAGCCTCTCCCAAGAGCAGAATTTTAAATCAATCAGCCTGGAATTTCCTGATCAGCCCTAGAGAGGTAATCTGCATGATAGACCCCCACCCTTTTCCTAGGGAAGGTGACCTTGTCTGAAGCAATCCTGTCTTTTCTCTTGCTAATAACTTCCTTGTCCTGCAGCTTTGGCCTATAAAGGCCTTACATTTTGTACCTCTCTACTGATCATCCTCTATTTATTTGTTAGATGGGATGCCTCCTGATTCCTGAATCATTGAATAAAACCAATTAGATCTCTAAATTTACTGGATTGAATTTTAGTTCTTTAAAAATGTTTTATTTTAACGTTTACTTATTATTGAGAGACAGAGTGTGAGCATGGGAGGGGCAAAGAGAGAGGGAGACACAGAATCCAAAGCAGGCTCCAGGCTCTGAGCTGTCAGCACAGAGCCCGATGCGGGGCTGGAACTCACAAACTGCGAGATCATGATCTGAGCAGAAGTCAGATGCTTAACCGACTGAGCCACCCAGGCACCCCGAATTTGGTTCTTTAAAAAAGTACTCTTATTATGTTAAAGAAGTAAAGATAATATGTTTGACAGAAAATTCAAACAATGCCACAATCAGACAATGAGGAACAAAGGCCCTCCTAACGGAAACAAAATTTCAAGGTGGCAACTGTCAGGGAATTACTACTCACCGCACTAATGTTTTGTTGAGTTGTCTTGATTCTCTGCATTTCAGGACTATCTGCCACTGAAGAATAGTTAGAAAGCATCTTCTCTGCTTCGTCTTTATACTTTTTCTAGAAATAGAAACAGCTAACATGAATCTGAAACTGTGTGTGCGTTTGTGTGTGCCCACGGGCATGAGAGATAGAAAGAAAATGATGCCTCTTCCATATATGTTGATTCAAAGCAGTTGTTGAGGTGACAGCAAAAATCAAGGGAGTAAGCAAACAGAGTAAGAAAACAGAGTATAAAAGCGGCCTCCCCTCTTCTCAGGCGATGGCCCCCACCCTAGTCCATTCAAAGGCCTCTGGAGGGCTTGGCCTCTGTGTCACTCCTAAGTTTAGAACCTTGTGATATTGTGATTTATAATAAGATATATCTATGGTCTTTGTCCCTATTTCTTGCACAGAACTCCTAATACCCTCAGAATTTCTTGTGGTGAGAGTGATGAAGGTATCTCTTGCTATGTTAACGAAATGGTATCTGGACACACTGAAGTATGGGACTGGTTGCCAAGGAAACGAAACTTGTGATTAGAGGGTTGGACCTTTCAGTCCCAACCCCCAACCTCTGGGGATGGGAGAGGGGCTGGAGGCTGAATCATCACCAATTGCCAATGAGTTCATCAGGCATGCCCTATGTAATGGAGCCTCCATAAAAACCCAGAAGGAGAGGGTTCAGAGAGCTTCCGGGTTGGTGAACATTTGGAGATTTGGGGGAAATGGTGAATGAACCTGGAGGGGGCTTGGAAGTTTTGCGACCTTTCCCCATGCCCTCTTCCATCTGGCTGTTCTGAGTCATAACTTTTTATAATGACCCACTGATCTAGTCAGTAAAATGTTTCTGAGTTCTGTGAGCTGCCCTAGCAGATGAATCGGACCCAAGGAGGGGGGGGTCCCAGGAACCTCTGGTCTATAGCCTGTTGGCCAAAAGCACAGGTGACAGACAGCTCGCAACTGGTATCTGAAGAGGGGAGGGGGACAGTCCCGTAGGACTGAACCCTCAACCTATGGAACTTGGTGCTGTCTTCCAGTAGATGGTGTCAGAGATGAGCTGAATTCTCCCATACCCGACTGGTGCCTGAGAACTGGCCGTCGGGGTGGGGAAGCCTCCACATACATGCATTGGAATTGGTGACGAGAACACAGAAGAAACCTACTCTTTGATGAGCAGCCCGGTCCCTGTTCAAAGGAGCCCCTAGAGCTCCTGCAAGTAAGCTGGCTCTCTCCACCCGCTATGTCTCACGCTTCTGGATTTATGCTTTTTGCTTCCTACTTCAGAAAAAGAGACATTTGTATAATGGAAAGGTACTAGCATTTCTGTAGTTGAGATAAAAAATCTCAATTCTTCTGTCTGGTAAATGTATTACTACTGAGAGCCCCGATACCTTCTCTGAGTACCAGCATTTTTACATTGTAGGTTTGGTTCGAAACCCTCATTAACACACTGAATCAACCCCACAAGCAGATACTATCACTGTCTCCCCTTACAGATGGGGAAACTGAGACACGAGCTAAGGAGTGTCAGAGCAAGGATTTGAACCCAGGCACTCTGGGTCTAGAGCCAGCAAAGTTAGCCATGATGGCATGCTGCGGCTTGTGAAGAAAGGTAATTATTATTGAGACTCAGCACAGCATCATTACAACTGTATCCTAAATAATTAAAACTCCTTCAAGTTAGATGTATCCTTCTGTCACACATACACAAAAGCAATGCTATCAAGTTAAAGCAGGAATTCTGATGGTTCAGGTGTCACTTCCTATGGAAAGCCTTTACACCTGATGCCTTACTTCCTGGTGGCATACATCACGCTTTGTAATATTTGCATGATTATTGATTATTAGATTAGTCTGCAGTTCCCCAAGGGCAAAACCAGGTCTAGTTTTGCATGTAAATGAAAGTATTTTCTGAATGAATGAATGAGATTGGCATTCTAGACACAGTAAATTTCCTCCACTGATTCCAATGGCCATTTGCCTATTTTACGTATTTAAGTTTAGTCAGCCGATACAGCCAACTTCTACAAGTTCATGTGCCAGCATGAGACATTGAGGGCAGACGAACACGCACTTCAGGACCATCCAACAGCTGTATCATCTGAGGAGGCCGCGAAGCACACAAGTCCTCTGGCATTTGACGGCCATCAGGACACCCCCTTTTGCACCAGCAGGTGTTTGGACCCACTGCTTACGTTTTAACTGGAATGTTAACAAATTTGGTCAGATTTTGTTGAAAAGTATCTTCTTCATAAATCCCGTTAATCAAATGTAATTCCTTCGTCAGTTTTCCATAACCCTTTTAATTTTTCATTCCCCTTTTATTATTTTTTTTTTCCATTGGGATGCACTCTTTTCCTTGTACATTGGATAGCAAAGACAATATTCACTAATGAATTTTTTGCCCGGATCAGATTTTATCAAGAACTTCTTCTTCCATTGCACATAGTCTTTTGTGGTCATATTCATATCCAGCTTTTCTATGAGAGTTTTTTTTTTTTTTCTTCTAAAGGGTTTTCTAGAGGACATGTGACAGGTAGGTACACTTGGCAAATTAAATCTTACCAAGAAAACAGTTCTTCTCTTAATTTTTAGTTAATATTCTATTTCACCTTCCACCTTGTGTGGTTTTAGTCACTCTTAGTTGGAGCTGATTGTTTTAAGGATAATATGCATTATGAAACGGTTAAAAGACAAGCTCATTTTGTAATCATTTTCTGTAATGTGAGCACTGGATTCAAGTGTGCAGAGTCAAAAAATAAAAATAAAAAGATCAAAATGTCGTTGGACTCAAACAGGGGAGCCCGGACACTCAGTAACATCCATTGAATCGAATTTATAGCACTTGTCCCTTTTGTTAGTGAGATTAATCAAGTTTGGCCAATAGCTCCTTTATAATAGAGTGCACTGACTTTGAATACAATGCCCTCAAAAGATATCAATCTTAGAGACACACGAAGCATATGGTGATTGAATATCAGCAGAACGCATTCCTACCAACCTGGCTATAGATCTCCGATGCCCTCTTGGCTCGAAGCATGTCCGGGATGTCCATGCTTATTTGCATCCCTTTCCCTTTAATTTCATTTTCCAAGTCTTTCTTATATTCTTTCTAAAAGAACAGAAAATAATCTTCAGAGCTTTGCTTAACCTTCCATCGTAATGCAGATATTTGTGTGTTTGACTGTCAAAGCCACACGTGTGAAGACGCCATTTACGCTTTTTCTACACACAACTCACTGTGTCTGATGTCAACCTTGTATCCCCATCTGTTTCTTACCTGGCTGGCCATTTCGGATGCCTTCTTAGCTCTCTGGATATCAGGAGTGTCTGTGCCCACCTGCATGCCCTTCCCTTTTATTTCAGTCTCCAGATCTCTCTTATAGTCTTTCTGGAGAAAATAAAACACGCAGTGAGGGCTCCACGTGAATTTGAAAAACCGTTGAAAACTGTGATGTCATTTTGACATCAGGATCATGGCTTTTGACTCTTACTTCTTTTATTTCTACAAAACTAGGAAGAGTTTTAACTTGTGGGAGGAACATGGCTTGGAGTGACTTATTCACAAGTAATCGGAAGGCTGTTTTCTACTAACGTGAATTAGGAGAGAGAACACAGTCAAGGGGAAAGTTTTTATATTTCAATATGATCAAATTGATCAATTATTGGTTAATATATAATTCATCTGATGAATATCAATAAAATGTGATTGTAACACTGTCACTTTTTGCTCTGTAGTGAATCGTTGTTGGTTGCTTTTCTGGAATCCAGTCCCTCTTTCCCCCACCCCCCCCCCCATTAGCTCCCTGACTGGCCAACAGGCAACTCACTGCTCCCCCAATGCAGTTGGGTGAGACTGGCCTAAGTCTAAGGGTCCTCTTGGGCTTACATAAATCATTAGACCCCATCCCTGGTGCTTCATGACTGCTCCAGGGATAAGGGTGATTCTTTTACTACACAAGATATCAAGAAGTTTGTCTTCTTCTTCTAGACATGGGTGGAGAAGAAGGGGACCCCAGGAGCCGCGAAAAGCCTCTTTGCAAACAGAAGAAAGCCCGCCTGAGACCCGAAAATAGAAACTAAAACCGAATCACATGGTCTGGGCTCCAGATCAAGCCGTGCCTAGGGCTTCCTCTACTGTTTGGTTCTAAGAACAATAAATTATCTGAGCCGCTTAAACTGAATTATGTGTTACTCACAAAACAGTCATAATTGCACAGACACAACATGGCTCAGAGACTTGTCACATTTGAAAACTCATCATAAAAAATAGAGCAAGATGTACACAAGTTGTACACTTTTCTGTACGTATGTATTCTTCAATGAAAAATTTTGTTCAAAGAAAACGATTGACTGTATCTAATTAAATTTCTTCTGAAACAGTTATTTCCTATTATGTTGACATACTGTAGATGTGCCATAATCGAGATTTGTACATTCCCTGTATAGAGTAAATGTTGGCTTGCTTATTTGTCATATCCTAAATTTTAAAAGGTATAAATAAAGATCTCAATCGCAGAGAAATATTATATTTTGCCCTATCTTCTATTTATAACTTGGCCTATTTTCACTGACTCAGCCTCAACTTCACTTTTCTGAATACAGTTTAAGTAATACTATTTAACTTGCAAGATCACAAAAGTCATTATCAGTATGTCTATAAAAAGCCCCCCATTTTCAGTAAGCCTCTTTAAGGCCCTGAAACAAAGCACTTCATTTGAAGGATAACGTATGTAGAAAGTGAGGAACCGGGGTGCCTGGGAGGCTCATTTGGTTGAGTTTCCATCTCTTGGTTTCAGCTCAGGTCATGCATGATCTGATGGTTTCGTGAATTCGAGCCCCACATTAGGCTCTGCATTAGAAGTACAGAGCTTGGTTAGGATTCTCTCTCTCTCTCTCTCTCTCTCTCTCTGCCCCTTTCCACTCACAATCTCCTTCTCTCTCTCTCTAAATAAATAAATAAACATTTACATTTTTTTAAAAAAGAAACTGAGGCACTGATCATACACAGCCACCACGGTCCCAGGGTAGAAGTATGTCACTTAATTTTGCAATATGAATATTCAAATCTAAAAGCGTTCTAAAGCACATAGACTACATAGGACACTAGTGACATCATTTCTGTATTAATGCACAATAAAACACTCTAAAACTTAGAAGGCTTAAAACAACATGACAGCACCTTTATTCCAAAAGGCAAGCCCTGTGCACAAGAGCTTTTAGAGGCTCTGTCTGAGTCATGTTTGCTAATGTCCTCTTGGCTAAAGGAAGTCCTATGGTCAATTCCATAGGTATTGGAGAGTTTAACTATTGGGAGTCATTCATGTAGCAATATATACATCATTCATTTCTTTGAAAAATTAAACCTTGAACTACAGAAAAGTCCTAAAGTTTGGCTGAAATGAATGTGAAAGCCTGTCAATTGGGTAAAATGGGACATGGCTATGATTACACACAAATGAGATCTTTGGATGGCAAAGATAATAACATCACCACAACCCTGATGTATGGGCAATCATAGGACAGCTGACCCCCCAGGCCTTTTTCCCCCCTCTTCTCAATAACTAGCATCCAGCCCTAAGGTACACAGAGAAATTGAAAGCAGCATATGGTTGAGTAAAACAAATCTATACCATTAGAAGGAAAGACATGACATTCTAACATGTCATAAAAGGGGTATGTCTTAGAAACCTGTCTTAGGTAAAAATGTAAAGTCGCAAATTTATGTTCTTTCCACATTGTTTTCTCTAGGGCAAGGATGCTTTCTTTTGGTTTCAATTCTCAGGCCCATGAGGATGATTTTGAATTCTCTTCTCCAGCCTCGAATCCCTCACTCCCAACCCCCTTACCCCAATCCAGTACCTTGAATTGGATATTGCCCTCTCCTAATAAAGAGACAAATTTCAGAGAATTGTAAGTAGTGATTTGGTAGTTTCTTGGTAGTTAATTACGTGGCCCAAGGAAGCCACCACTAAAAAGTACGATTAAATCTACGAAATGAGTGACAAGACAGAGCTTGGACTAGGGCAGAGCAAAGTGGATGGATTTAGAAACCATGTTGGGGGTGGAGTCAATAAAGTTGCCGACAAAAGGAATCTCAGTGGCTTCTGAGACCTCACTGATGCCATTTGCTGAGAAGGGAGTGGAAAAGGAAAGCAGATCTGGGGGAAAATTAAGGTTCTGGTTTTGGCACGTGATATCGAGAGCATGTTAGTACACTTCACGTGCCGTTTACATGTGGCGATGCCTGTGACACATCGAAAGGTAAATGGTTGCATATTCACATCCATGTTATGAAACACTTAATCCTCCTGTAAGAATGAGGTAGAACTAGGGGCGCCCGGGTGGCTCAGTCGGTTGGGTGTCCGACTTCGGCTCAGGTCACGATCTCGCGGTATGTGAGTTCGAGCCCCGCGTCGGGCTCTGTGCTGACCGCTCAGAGCCTGGAGCATGTTTCGGATTCTGTGTCTCCCTCTCTCTCTGACCCTCCCCCATTCATGCTCTGTCTCTCTCTGTCTCAAAAATAAATAAATGTTAAAAAAAAAAT